AGCGCGGATGAGTTACATAAGACGAACATGGCTGAAATGTCATCGTTTGATGTGATAAAAACATCAAATCATTCGTCAAATTTCAAACTAAATCAGCATTCCAATGACGACAGTGTCGTTGCTTCATCGTCCAACGGAACTAATTCTAATTCACCGTATTCTAGCAATCGTAAATCGAGGTTCATTGTCCATGTATCTGTGTTTTACTCAGCATATCTGGGAGTATCAATAGAATCTATCGATGTTCATTAAGAACTGACAGAGGTTGATATTTTAGTGAAGAACGCCAAAAACATTACTGAAAATGTTCGTGAAAACGCTATCAAACCTTACTTCTTAAATCATCACAATAATCTGAATTTATCCAGAAATTATTATAGTTTTAAGATTTTTCATGACTGTACATTTGCTCCTGAGAAATATTGAAACGTTGAAACGTTGAAATCGATTGAATACGTATTGAAACGTTGAAGAAATTGATGCTACAAGCAATTTTTCAGAGGTGGAGCGTTGAGACGTATCAATCACAGGGATCATTCGCCGATATATTCATCATCGAATCAGAATGAAAGATCAATGAACGATTTCGTGGTTTGTTGAACATAGATTATAAACATTTATTAATACGTAATCGGATGAATCCCATTAACAATGAAAATAATTTAGTTAATACGATAATGATGAAGGGAAAACAGTACATTAACATCAGTTTGTATGATGCCTCTTTGCAGAGGACCGGTGGGTGATAGTAAAGACATGATTCCAGATTCGGATTCCTCATCCTTCACTGTACATAAGCAATATATTCCTGAGCTTACGTAAAGCAAGAGTCAACTTTTTTATCAAGTTAAATGCATGCTTTTTGGCCATTTTGCAGATATTGGCGGTTATTCACAAAAAGCTGGACATACCAATGAAATAACTTTTCTTTTGGATTCTATTTACAAAACTGCCCTAAAAAACTGACTTTGTATCTTTGCGCAGTCTCTGTTATGGCAATGATGGCAGTAATTACTCTGGCAGTAATTACGGCAACAGTGATATTATTGGTCAAATGTTCATTTTAGAGATCACGACAGCTCGGAAGAAGTTTAATCGATTTAAGCGAATTGGATTATCTTAGAAATCCAGTTTATTTCAAAACGAAACGCGAGACAAGAGGTGGAAGCGGTCATCCAAAATTATATCGCGTGAATAATGCTTCACAAACGAATCGGTTTCATGATAAATCGAATAACAACAACAATTACCATCTTCATTATGACGATTGGCGATCTAAAAGTGAAACCTCTCTGTATTGTGAAAGATTCTGAGAAACATCCATTTACTGAATATTTCTAGACCGCAGTTTCAAGTTGCAATAAACTTTTTCTGATGGAGACCTTACACTTGGTCATTCAGAATATGCCTTCAGACGAANTAATCTCATGTTATGTTCATTTGAATACTGCATAAGTGGACAGCGATAAAATCACCAATTAACGGATTAATCTGTGTTCAAAAAATGTTTTAGCTTTACATCAATAGCATTCAGCATTGTGTGAATGATTTTGACATTTATTTTGTCTCACGTAAAATTTCAACGCGACATTTTCAAATTTCGAATATCTCGTTCATACCGATACCGAATGTTACAAAAAAGACATCAGTCTGCATTTAAATGATTTCCAATTTGTCTTCGATCGACACTTTCAGATTTGTTTTTTTGACATACTTTAGAACCCTATGCATTAATTTGTTGCTTTCAGTTCCTGCTGTTCTCGAAACGATAACTTCTGAATGCTTAAATTAATCAGTCAAAAATTACTGTTCGAATCACTTGATAAAACTAACGCCGAGTCAGTCATATAACTGGAAACGGCAACAACGAATTCGATCAATGAAAGATTGAAGATATCATTTCATTACACAAACCACTTCTTGTGTGGCATGAATTTGTTCTTTTAAGTCTTTTTTTTTTGAAAGAAAGAGATATTTTTTCACAATCGCAATTTAATTCACTGTTCACGACATCATTCCTATTCGCAGTTTGGTTCCTTCTCCATTCTTTTTTATCACTTGTATTTATGGGATTCATAAAAACGTTTAATTTGAACCAACCTCTTTCAGTTTGCATGCAAACCTTTCAAACACGTATACGAAAGCATTCATGTGAATATCACTTAATTTTACGGGATATGGAACGAATCGAATTTACGGGATATTTGGCCGTTTTAAAACACGTAAAACGATCGGAAATAGCAACATACGATAAACATAGAGTCGAAACCATGCTTAAATCACCCGGCTGCAATTCAGCCTCGTCAGTTTGAGTCAGGCTCAGATTTGACTCATGCTTAGAGTTACGCAAACGCGTATGGCTTGGACGTAGGTTCATACTCAGGTTCAGTGTGGACTAAATTGACTTGAATGATTTCCGTTCATTGCTACGATTCTCTTCCTACTCCATTTTCGAAAGGATGAATCTATTGTTGCACCTTAGCCTTTATTGCGAGACTGACTGTGAGTAATCCAATGAATCTGTTTACAAATATTTACTTGCAAGTTCAGAAAAATTCGCAATTTTGCAACATCTACAATAATGTCTATATGCAGAACACGAAATGATAAAATTTGAATGAATATATACACAACGACAGAACAGTAAAGATGCTATATGAGAATATTCACATACAATATTTCCGGCAACTTTGTACTAAATTAGATATACATTAGCATGCTATATGAAGGCAGTCAATAATGAAGATACGCATCAACATGATATGATAAAGGCATTATTGAAGTGATGATAAGTGAAATTATTTTAGAAATGCAAAGTGACTCTAGTAGGAAATCATCATGAAACCTCAAAGTCAAAATCTTAACAATAAAACGTGATACAGCGTTACATACACAATTACAGTCTTAACAAAATCGATAGGCAAGAATAAAAAAATTTCGTTTGGTATTATACAATAACTCATTACATATGAATTCAAATCAACTATTATTTTGTGTTGTCTCGCTGCAAGAGATCTGTTTTCCAAAGGACTCGTTCATAAATGATTCTCCTCAAAAAATATGCTGAATACCGTTTACAACAAAATTCAAAAACACTATTTCTTTCGCTAAGCTATCCATCGAAGAAACCTAACTTTTCAAGAAGTTATCACACAACAAAGATAATCGTCACACAACATTTTGAGATTCAATATTAAATTTTTAACAACTCATTAAGACAAAGTGATACATGATGCAAAAACAGATCAATTATGATAATAATGATAGTAATAAATAACCATTATTGCTATAGTTATAAAAGCACAAACGAAGTAGTAACAAAAATACAAATTCAAAAGTAATCGAAGAAATTCGGTAACTTTTATCTCAAAATGTGCAACGATTCAAATGTGTGAAACATTCATTTGATTGCGTACAGAGTCACGTCTTCCAAGGCTCGGCGGTATAAAAACAGAAGTTGATAAAATGTTCTTAAGACGACGACACGGTGTTATTGATGAAGAATGAGCAAGAGTTTGATTTGGTGTTAAGTTGGGTGACATTAAAGATGAAGACAGTTCATTTATGGAACGTAAATTCGATTTTGAATGTAACCGTGATAGAGTATTCGAAAATCCAATATGTATACTCGATACTGCACGTTGAATACGATTCGGTTTTTGAGGTATTGAGTTCATTGTTGATGATGACATCGCGCATTTACGATTGCTGAAGTTATTCCTTTTCTCGATTACTTTAATGGTAATTCCGGAACAATGACTTTTCTGCATAAATGAAACTTACTCTTTTCAACTCTCACTACTGTTGAACAATAGAATCGGAACTGTTAATTTAAACATAAATCAAAGCATTTCATAGATGCGGTAAACGATACAAAATCAAATAATCATACGCATTATTCACAATAAAAACTGAATGGAAGAACGTACGCGTGATGTAGGGCTTTGCCTATCGTAATCCATTTTTCATTGTTTTGCGTTATTGAAAACGCACCATCCAAAGGAACATTTTCCAGCGGTGTTACGCGACCACATAAATAGTATATCTGATCGAACAAAGTTGTTATGATGTTAAGTGCTCATAGATTTAAGATTATTCATTTAAACAATAACTCACTTGATTTGATAAATCCATTAGGAATTTTCGCATTTCGCCAGGCTGATTCTCAAAGCACTGTACAACCCAAAAATCTTCGCCCTGACTAACTCTGAATGACAACACAAATATGCCTTCGAAATCTGTAAATTCAATCGAATGCAATATTAGTCATTCCAAGAAAAATCTGTAAATCATTTTGATCATTGCTTTCAATTTAGTCATTCCAAATGCTTTATAACTACGGTTTAATCACCCTGGATTAGGATTGCTACCGAACCATCCTCTCTCCTTCCAGGTGAGTCAGTAATTAAGAACTGTTTTCAATATAGTGGGAAAACATTGGAATAAATTTAAAAAGTTTGTTCTCTCCCGCCATAGTTATGCTTTCTATACGCCGTTCTCGCCCAAGTTGTAAAATACTGCTTTAGTTCACTAGAAGAGATACCTAAGAACGTTCCAGATTCTAAACATAAAACCTTAAAAATGAGCATAAAGTAGCAAGTAAACGCCAATTATGAATAATTGTAAATGAACAGCTTACTGAGGTAATAGAAGATGAATAATTTACTAACCATTATGAGTTACGATGTCAATACCCCTAATCGCTGTAAGCATGTACTGCTGATGGTGTTTATATTTCTTTTTGTTGGCTCGAAATGATGTAAATGACAACTGTCTTTTGAATGAGCGTGTTGCGTTGAGTTTATTGGGCACAGCTGATTCAGTTTCATTATTAGCACCGGTACGTACCTGAATATCATAAGAAATACAGAAAAACGAATCAATTATAAGTGAGTAATCACGAATTACAAATAATTTTCAACCACAATTATTAAAAATTCTTGAGAAGTTTTTTTGTTGATTTGCTTTTTCAGTCGATTCTAGGTCAGTCTTCTGAATCGGTTCCAAAGATTCGAACTGATCCTACGTATGAAATTTTTCGTGCTATGTAGCCAATCAAATTTGTTACTTCACTGCCATTACCTATCTGCACGGTGTCAAGATTTTTTTGCTTGATCCGATTTTATAATTCAATCCTGGATCAGTTTCGTGCGATGGATTCAAAATCCATTCTACCGTTTCATAATTCTTTAAAATCACTGCGATTTTAGCAAGATTCATTCGAAAAACATTATCACAAATTCACACAATGTTGAAGAAAATTGCTGACCAGCATTCTTACATGAAATTAAGGTTACAAGATTAGGTTTGTGAATATGATTTCTATATTGCTTTGCTAGTTTGCAGGATGAACATAAAAGGATGCAAAAATTCTGATGTATTTTGTTATGGTGAAATTTCGCATGGTTTCTAGGCTGGGAAAAGTCAGATATCATATAAGATGATGGTGTCAAATTCGAAGTTATATCGTGTAGTCAGCTGATCACCGACTGGGCAATTGGGATAATTATAAAATAACATGGAGAGATTTTTAGAATCGACTTCATAAGTTGGGAACTGATTACCGTTCAATTTTACTGCATCATCATATTCCGGTAATGGGCAACAATATTACACAAATCTATCATGCAATTACAAACGCAAACAAGGAATATTATCGATAAACATGAAACAAAAATTGCTCGAATAAATAACCTTGGCGATTTCGATGAGATCATTAAAAAGAAATATGACCATATTCCTGTTTTGAGTCTTCGCCCAATCATCCTCACCGCCTAACGATAGAACGTGCAATTCACTGGTTAATGTTCTGGCGCTTGACAAGATTTCGGGCTGAAAATGCCAAAGGAATTTCTTTTCGTAATGAACAATCAGATTAGAGCTCCGAGAATTTACTCATTTCACCCCCTCTATCCAATCTGTTATTTAAAAAAAACAGCCGAATGGAACTATAAACTGACATCACTCGCANAACGCTTTCGTCAAACAAACATAGTCCGGATTCTTGGAATCAGTTTTCTTTTGTATTGCTGAGAAAAATTACAATATCATATCGCACAAATGTCATACAGGATGTGTTATATTAAAACAAAAGTTCTGAACGAAGTGTCGGTCGCAACGAGCAATAGTCATTGGTCACAATTGAACAGTGTAGAACACCATCATTGATATCGACAACAATTAAGGCATCAATATTGCTTTTAATAAAAATATGAGAATAACAATACAATAAACACCAATGATCTCATAAAATATCAACCTCGAAGCAGAAGAAGTACTGACGGAAGTCTTTGAACCGGACGCACTAGCAAATCCTTGAGATTATTACGCTCACACTCCTCCCGACTTTCCGTAGCCTATAAAAAATGTTATTTAGGAACCATGTTCAAATATCACGAATAAATTAATACCGAAGAGCATCAAAATGAATATATAAATTGAATCGTTCCAAAAAAATTTTTGACTGGCATTAGCAATGAACTGGGAAGACAAGTTGTAGAGAAACAACTCAAACCGAATGACTGACCCATTTACAGTCAGGCAATGAGAAATATCAAAATAACCTTCAGGAATGCATGGAATTTGGGCTTGTCATGATCACACTGGATGAGCGTTGCTGAAGCTGTATCATAATTTGTTAGAAACGATTTATAAGCGGGCCTCAAATTTTCAGCATTTTTGAACCAAATCTAAACATAATCAACATTACAAATAATATTTACGATAACCTCATTAATAAGTAATGATACTGATTGAACATAACAGAAATGAAACAAAGTTTCAACCTCGCCAATAAGATGATCAACGGTCCAATGCATAACATAAGTTCGAAGATCGTAACAAATTTTCTCGTGTACCTCAATAAGAGGTGGCACACGAGAGAATATTTGCATAATTTCAGCTTTCGTCAAAAGTCCTGATTCCGGATTGTTCGACTGTTCTTCTAGAGGTTCCTTGAAGCTCTGTAAAATCTATTCTATTCGAAAACATTGTCATTCATAATTTAATTAATTAGTTTTAGCTAATTGAATGAATTGATGCTGTTGAGCATTAGAATTTCAAGGGGTTACTATTATTATTGCAACAATAATTCAATGGTTTCTTGCAAGAGATAACGGATGCACTCTTTCATTGGAATAATAATAAATACAAAAAATATTCATTTGACAACCTGAACAATAAGCTTCAATGATTTCAAATAATTTTCTTCAGTTTCGAGCATTTCCTTGCACACTGCGTGTCTCATATCAGTTTTTCTTGGTGAACATGATAGCTTTTCTAAATCATCGGTTGAGAAAAGGTGTTCCGAGTAATCTGAAAAATGTACAGATACAGGTATATCACTGGATCATTTCTAATAGGGTAGTATTTTTAATGGAAATAACACAACATTCGAGAACGTATCTATNAAGAAACAACGATTAAATACGGCGACTGCAATAGACTAAATGCTTGACACTTCAGCGTGCTAGCTTTTAGTTAATTATACCGCTATCGAAAGTTTTCAAATTGTTTGAAAAACACAACAAGACTGAATAAACAGCATTCTACTAAACATGATAAAAAGGGTGTGTGAATTATTAAAAGAAAACCTGCAAGTGCGGATGAGTTGCTTGTTTCAAGATTGTTTAGTGTTGACCTAAAGATAAGAAACACTAATAACACTTGATATCATTATCGCTATCATTACAGTCGTCATCACTGTTCTCCTTACTCGCTTTAAGAAGCAGTATATTCTTCTTTTCTTTACAAACAACCACCCGTTTCTTTCCAAAACAAAAAGAGAAGAGATCATTCATTAATTCTCCACTATCAACGTCACAATCTACAATCAGTATTTATATCATTACTTCTCAAGTTCGTAGGATGTCAATCTTTTCAAAGTGACTCAACAATGCGGAAGATAGATAGAAAACCTCGAATTAATCCGTCTGGATGAGGGATTTGGTTCATCACTCTGTGACGGTGATAACACAGCAGCTCTTTTTCGATTTGATCGCCGCTGGTCATTCCATTGATAGATCTCTTCATTTGCGCAACAATTCAACTGGATCGATAACCAAAACCACTAAATCACTTAATTCAGCTAATTTTTACGTAATCTTTAGATCTGTTTCATTCAAGTCGAATTTCGCAAAACTGTCACTTCTCATTGAATACTTTTTACAACAATTTTCATATTTTTCATTTCTTGAAACCTCACACAACAAGATAAAATCTGATTACACCTGTGATTGCTAACCTCGCTAGAAACAAGATTTTGTTTCGGCGTATAATCTTCAACGGATACATCTGGACTATTTAAGACAACAATATGAGTTGCTTCGCTTTGTGATGATGCCAATTTACCTTCTACAAATTGATTCTTATTAATCGTGTATTCCCTAATACAGAGCACATCATACTGTCGATCAGTTCAGTAATAAACTGATTAGTAATATTATTGAATGATTTAAACTGCGGTCACACATCAATACTATTTTCAACGTTCAATCGAAATTCATTGATCAATTGAATTAAAAGTGCATTCTTTTCGCATATCAAAATATTGTTGTACTTAAGGATCTAATTCAGTGAACAGTATAAGATGACATCCAACAAAAACCGACTATGCTCAACAGTTTTTTGACGCATATCCAAAAGTTCATCCTCCTTATCTCCAATAAACCAAAGTGACAAACCACAAAACGGTTCGACCAAAAACTGATTCACCTGAAACAAAACACAATCGAATAGTTGAAGTACCCCAGCTGAAGATTACTATTCGATTAAAATAACGAAAGACTGACAGACTCAAATGACTCACAAACTCGCTATTTACAATAGATTTGTTGATATCATCTCTGAATGCCCAAGCAGAATGTATCCAGCGAACATGTACTGCTCGACGTCCCATTGATATTGCCCTCTTAAATTATTGTACATCATTCATTTCAATCTCATCTTTAGAATAAAAACTTGCTTCAGAAAAGACTTACTTTTTAATTCTTTTCGGTCGATAGATTGAAAAATCGATCAAGATATGCATCTCACATCAAACAAAACAAAGAAGTAGTAAATAATGTAAACTAACACGATAAGTTTTTCCCTTCGCGAGATCCGTGATAAGATGAGTGACGTTAGGTGAGAATGATTCGTGAGCACTACCGCCCATAAAATGAACGAGATTTACTGCTTCACGACACTGACTACCTTGAACACGTGACAACGCTATTCGTACACCGGCCATACTTTCTGTGTACAATGGACGATTTGCACGAGGAATCAACAGAGGCTGTAATCGATTCATTTAATTCGGTACTAACTGATGTAACATCACTGACCACTGATAACTGCTATTGCGAACAATACAATTAAACAATCGAAAATTAAGAAAATGGCGACCGAACAATGTAACGTGCAAAAGACCTGAATGATGATAAAATATTGCAAAAGGTGAAGGTAAGAAACGAATGCACACCTTAGACTGTTGAGCACGCATTCGAATAACAGCTGGACCAAGTATGAATTTACCACATGAATGAAGATATTTAAAATGATGTGAATTAATAAAATCACTACAAATATAAACCATATCTGGATCATTTCTAAACTCCATACCGCTTTCACTCTCCACTAGATCAACACCAAAATGATTCTAAAATTTAATAACTGTTTGTCTGAAATACCAATTCTGTTTACTAAAACCTATGAAATTATATCGATCCCTACAAAATATTTCAGAGGGATCTTATAAAACGCTTTATTTCTGGGATTGTTTAAAGCCATGGAATTCAAATGACTTTCCACCTTCAATGAGCTCAGAATAACGCTGNTTCCGCAGGAATTAACCACAATCAATCCAATTTTTTAGGTATGTAAAAATAGATTCGGATATATCTCTTTTTTAAGCAGGTTATAGTGGCGTAATGGTTTTTTGGTGGTTTGCTCGACAGATCCGCCTCCGCGAGGATAAGTAAAACAAACGTAGTTATTCTGGTCCCAGTGAAGATATGGACAGTTTCCCGACCCCAGAGGGCAAGGAGTGAAAAATCCATTCAGTTATCAATAGAATTATAATTACTTTCGACCAACTGAACGACTGGTGAGCGGATGAGAATGTAAGATGATGATGGTGATAATAATAGCAATATTATCAATGGAACTTACGGCAATATAGTCAACGACATAATGTATTTCAAAAATAAAATGAAAAATGAGAATTTGAAAGAAACCTTCAACAGACCAACGACTGTCGTATCACTTCTCGCATCACCGACCAAACAAGCTCTTTCGACACGTTTCGCTTGTGACACTGAACGTGAGACACTACGTGATACATCTGGATCTGAGATTTTGATATTTTGCGTCAGCAAATAGTTTATAATATTTATAATATTATACATGCTACAAATTCATTGAATAAGTTGAAAAGCATTAGCAACAGTGATAATAAACATATTCAATCCATTTGTTTACCTTTGTTACCTTCGAAGTCATTATTACAATCCATAATATCTGACGTTAGAATGCTTCTGTCAGCCTCCATTCCTGCAACTGGAGGCACTCAAAACCAATGAAAACGTCCAGAGCCCAGTTCACCCTTTAAAAAAAATCAGTTTCACCATGCCATCGGAAGAACAACTTTCGAGAAAAGATTATAACCATTTGTGAGAATTCAAAAGATTCAAGTAATTCAAATTATGAGCTTTCAGTGGCAAGAAAAAAATTTTGCTGATCTGAATGCATGGTGTTTGTGTAGGATGAGGACGCAAGGAAGTGGAAATACTGGATAACAGAAATGCATAATATAGATGGGAAAATGAAAATATCATGGAAAAAGTGCAAACGACATGAGTATATCTTCACTTTTTATGTATTCGAGGTAGTATCTTGATGGTGAAGCAACTGACAACTGATCAGAAACGATGAACACAGTATGCCAATAGTATAAGACTTTGTTGAGATAAACTGCCCAGAAACAAACTTCATGATACATGTCAAATATTTTTTACACATTACGGACGCGTAAACATTTAAAAAGCAATCGTAATATCAAATACATTTACAATTACTTATAAATAAATTGCAATTTTTTCATACGCAGTCAAAATTATTAATGAGAGTTTTTTTTTATAAATAAGCAGGAGAGTCGCATGTCAAGAAAAATTGCTTTAAAATATCAGCAAA